TATTTGAATGAGAACTTTGAGGGAGTGCAACCGAAGCATTCTTCGGATGAAGCTTTGCAGAAATGGAGGATGGTTTGCGGATTTGTCAAGAACCCCAAGCGCAGGTTCCGTTTCACCGCCAATCTCTCCAAGCGTCACGAGGCCGCTGTTATGCGCCAAACCAATCAGGTTTTCTTTTTATATACAATTCAATTCTTCACAGATTGATTTCAATCTATATATCATGTTATTATGTTTCCAAACCAACCAAGTTATGCAGTATCTACTTTCAAAATTTACAAAGTGATATCAAATAGCACTAAACAAATGGTGTTTTTAGTATTTTGTACATAAATGGTTAAAACTCTATTTTACTCAATGTTATTGATATCATACCGGATCGGTTGGTACAGTTGGAACCTATTAGTTTTTATATTAAACCAAAATGATATATGGTTTAATTTTGTTTTGATTAAATTTCATTGGTTTTGATCAAATTTCAGTGTACTTGGTTGGTAGTACTTAATTCAAATTTAAAAATAATAAATTTTATTTTTGATTCTCAATTTTAATATTTTACATAATTTTTATATTTTAATTTTTATGTATTTTTTTAGTTCATCAAATATGATAAATGTATTTTTTTAGTCTTTTTATCAATTACTTCGTTAAGTTTATCTAAATATACATATTTTTAGTCCCTTAACTTAAAGTGAATGAATGAAAAATATGCATATATTAAAAGTTGAGAACTAAAAATGATCATTTTAAATTTATTTTCAATTTGTATGAATATGATGGTTTTAAATATTAGTATTTCTTATTTTATTTTTAAATTTGATATTTAATTTATAGAAATATATATTTATAACGATAAATTCAAACGATAAGTAAAAAATTTTAGTATTTAGTATGTATCATTCCAGCAGTAAAATCGATAGGCATGTCTATAAGATACTGATGGCTTTGATTTTACTCCATCCATTTTAATAAGAAGTACCTTTTTAGTTCTCTTACTTAAATTTTTTTTTAATTCTTAAAATTTATTATTTGACTCGTTTGTAATTTCTCCTCCTCTTTTTGCATAAATTACACAGTAGGTAATGGAAATTTCAAAATAAAGAGATGAAAAATAGCTTTTTTTATTAAGTAAAGAGATAAAAAAGAGACTTTATTAGTCTTTTTTAGTTTTTCTACTTTGAAATTTTCATTATTTAACATGTTATATGTGTAAAAAATAATTGAAGGACTAAAAAGAGGCCGGATGATAAACTTTAAAAACTAATTGAAAGGTATTTTAAAAAAAAAAAATAGAGGAAGTAAAAATAAGTTTTTTTTTATAGTTAAAGTAGAGTAATAAAAAATGGAATTTTTATTAAAGAAGAGGAATCAAAATGGAGTTTTAATTAAAAATAAATTTGTGAATGAGGTGGGTCCCCAACATATCATGGTTATCCCTATTCAAATATTTTGTGGGGAGATCCTCTATGTGGCCAACATACTTTGATCATGGAATTTCAAATTGGGATTTTTGACCAAGGTTGTAATTTTTCTTAATGCCATGGACATTACAGGAGAAACTACGGGTTGCAGTTCTGGTTTCAAAAGCTGCATTTCAATTCATCCAAGGTGAGCCTTTTTGGAAAATTAATATAAAGTTTCTTGCATTAAAGTTCTTCTTAGTCTTACTAACTTCTCCTCAACAGGTGTGCAGCCTAGCGACTATACTGTCCCAGATGAAGTCATAGCTGCTGGTTTTCAGATTTGTGCTGACGAGCTAGGATCCATTGTGGAATGCCATGATGTGAAAAAACTAAAATTTCATGGTGGAGTAGCTGGAATTGCGGAAAAACTCTGCACATCAACCACTGATGGACTCACTACTAATAGTGATCAACTGAGCAGGAGACAAGAGATATTTGGAATTAATAAATTTGCCGAGACAGAAGCTCGGGGTTTCTGGATATTTGTTTGGGAAGCTCTTCATGACATGACTCTGATGATCCTTGGAGTGTGTGCTTTTGTGTCATTGATAGTTGGCATCACAATGGAAGGATGGCCAAAGGGAGCTCACGATGGCCTTGGCATTGTTGCTAGCATACTACTAGTTGTGTTTGTCACAGCATCAAGTGATTATCGCCAATCTTTGCAGTTCAGGGATCTTGACAAGGAGAAGAAGAAGATCACCATTCAGGTCACAAGAGATGGGTTTAGGCAGAAAATGTCGATATATGATTTAGTTCCTGGTGATATTGTACATCTTGCTATTGGAGACCAAGTCCCTGCAGATGGGCTTTTTGTCTCAGGGTTTTCTGTGTTAATTGATGAATCAAGTTTGACAGGGGAGAGTGAGCCAGTAATGGTGAGTGCTGAAAATCCTTATATGCTTTCAGGTACTAAGTTACAAGATGGATCATGCAAGATGTTGGTCACCACTGTTGGAATGAGAACCCAATGGGGTAAGTTGATAGCAACTCTAAGTGAAGGTGGAGATGATGAAACCCCATTGCAGGTAAAATTGAATGGAGTTGCGACCATTATTGGCAGGTTAGGCCTTTTCTTTTCCATAATAACGTTTGCTGTGTTGGTACAAGGACTTCTTACCCAAAAACTGCAACAAGGTACCTTTTGGACTTGGTCTGGAGAAGAGGCATTGGAAATGTTAGAATTCTTTGCTGTTGCTGTTACCATTGTTGTTGTTGCAGTCCCAGAAGGTCTGCCATTGGCTGTGACATTGAGCCTTGCCTTTGCCATGAAGAAGATGATGAATGATAAAGCACTAGTTCGACACCTAGCTGCGTGTGAGACTATGGGGTCAGCAACAAGTATATGCAGTGACAAAACTGGGACGCTAACCACTAACCGGATGACTGTTGTAAAGTCATGCATTTGCATGAATATAAAGGAAGTCAGCAAAGAAAATAAGAACAACTTCTGCTCACAAATCCCGGAATCTGCACTGAAACTTCTGCTACAATCAATTTTCCTTAATACTGGGGGTGAAATTGTTGTTAAAAAAGATGGCAAACTTGAGATATTGGGAACACCAACGGAGACTGCTTTATTAGGGTTTGGCTTGTCTCTGGGCGGAAATTTTCAAGCGGAGCGACAAGCATCAAAGCTTGTCAAAGTTGAGCCGTTCAACTCTACAAAAAAACGGATGGGGGTAGTGCTGGAGCAACCTGAAGGAGGGTTAAGAGCTCACACTAAGGGGGCTTCTGAAATAGTTTTGGAAGGCTGTGACAAGGTGATCAATTCAAGTGGTGAAGTTGTTCCCCTTGATGAAACATCCATTAACCATCTGAAAGTTACCATCAATCAGTTTGCTAGTGAGGCTCTTCGAACTCTGTGTCTAGCCTATATGGAACTTGAAAATGGCTTCTCTACCAGCAGTCCTATCCCAACTTCTGGTTATACTTGTATAGGAATTGTGGGAATTAAAGATCCTGTTCGGCCTGGTGTCAAGGAGTCTGTTGCAATTTGTCGTTCAGCTGGAATCACCGTACTCATGGTTACAGGCGACAACATTAACACTGCAAAGGCTATAGCTAGGGAGTGTGGAATCCTTACTGATGATGGTATAGCTATTGAAGGTCCAGATTTCCGTGAGAAGAGTCAGGAGGAAATGCTTGAGTTAATCCCTAAGATTCAGGTATCGTGTACATTCTTTTTTCTTTTGAACTTCTCAACTGTCAATCCCAATGGGTTACTCATGATGAGGGCAGTTAATCTGACCTGTGACTCATCGCTTTATTTCTTTTGCAGGTCATGGCACGATCATCACCTATGGACAAGCATATGCTGGTAAAGCAATTGCGAACTACATTTGATGGAGTTGTTGCTGTGACTGGTGATGGTACAAATGATGCCCCAGCTCTTCATGAGGCCGATATTGGACTTGCAATGGGCATAGCTGGAACTGAGGTTAGTAGGAATCAAATTTTGCCCATCTTCTACACCCATCAAACAAATTATGATTTTTAGTCACGAGTTAGAATTTTGGTTTTGTTTGTTATATCTTTCCATCTTATTTCTCTGTATAGTTCACATCTTTATTTGTTTGCAGTCATGTATGAGAAGAAATATCCCAAGATTCAACTAATCTCATTCTGACTTTCCAGGTTGCTAAAGAGAGTGCTGATGTCTTAATTCTTGATGATAATTTCTCAACAATTGCTACAGTGGCCAAATGGGGACGTTCAGTCTACATAAATATTCAAAAATTTGTACAGTTTCAGTTAACAGTCAATGTGGTCGCACTGATTGTTAACTTCTCTTCAGCTTGTTTGACTGGTGAGAAATTGTATACTTTTAGTCTACAACTTTAAACTTAGAATTTCTTATCTTCTTTGCCAAGGAAACAATTTTAGCATTCTGCTTATTCATTTGCTATTAAACCATGCTTCAGGGAATGCCCCACTTACAGCTGTTCAGCTATTGTGGGTCAATATGATCATGGATACTCTGGGAGCACTTGCACTTGCCACTGAGCCTCCAACTGATGAACTAATGAAGCGTGCCCCAGTTGTAAAGAAAGGGAATTTCATCAGTAAAGTAATGTGGAGGAATATCTTAGGGCAATCTTTTTATCAGCTTGTGGTAATATGGTATCTTCAGGCAAGAGGGACAGCTATATTTGATCTTGATGGCCCAGACGCTGATCTGATATTGAACACACTTATTTTCAACTCATTTGTCTTCTGTCAGGTAACCATTTTTACTTCATCCATTTTTATTTTTATTTCTTGACTTCATGATATTTCCTTGTTTACTCTAAAATGCCTTGTTCTGCAGATTTTCAATGAGGTCAGCTCACGTGAAATGGAGAAGATAAACGTTTTCAAGGGCATTCTGAACAACTATGTTTTTGTGTCTGTTCTTGGATGCACAGTTCTATTCCAAATCCTAATTGTCGAATTCCTTGGTACATTTGCCAATACATCACCTCTCACTTTACGACAGTGGTGTTTTAGTGTGCTCGTAGGATTCATAGGCATGCCAATTGCTGCTATCTTAAAGATGATCCCGGTGTGAACCATACAGCCAGAGTTCTTCTCTGGTCTTTCAACCATTCATAAAAATTTGGAACCTTAGTACAGCTAAGTCCTTTGAATGTATATTTGGGTTCTCTTGTACAAATTAATAACTTGGGGACAAAGGCTGGGTCCTCAAGATCAGCTATAGACATTATCAATGGACAATGATACATAGGACAAATAAAAGGGACGAATTTTTAGGACCAATGATGTGGCAAATCATATTGTTAATATATTAATTTTAAAAAATTTAAATTAAGTTATGTTTTCTTGTTTATCTTCTACCTCTTTTCTGATTTTTTTTTTCTCTTTCCAAATCTCCTATCTTTCTCTCTCATCTCCCCATTTTTTGCCAAGCTCCTCCATTATGTGGAATCCCTGTAACAACCACACCGAAATTCTCCGTCCTAGCAATTTGAAATTTTCTCATACTTGTCACCGTTGCTCGCAGCGTCGCTAGCAAATACTCCCTTTCCAACCCCTTTACTCTAACTGAGAAATTTATGATCCTGTTCCGCTGCCCCATTGCATCCCACAACCTGAAACTTAAAAACTAAACCCTAACCATTTGGTAAAATTGAACCCTATTTAGGAGAAACCTTAAATCTATACTTAGGTATTGTTTGGATTGGAGGTGTCGGACGGAGAGGGAGGGGAAGGAATGGGGACGGATGGCAAGGGAGGGGGAGTGAGGGGGAGCTGTCTCCTTCTTCCTGTTTGGGTTTCCAAAGAGGCAGAGGGGGAGGGAGATGGACTGATTCGGACTCCCTTCAACCCCCCTCAAATCTGCAAATTTGCAATCCGTCTGATTTGGGGGGTTTGAGAGGAATTTGAGTGGCTGTTTACATTAAATTAAATGTAATTACAAAATTAACCTTAATTTTTTTATTATATCCTTCTCCATTACAAGCTTAAAGGATAAATTTGTAAATTTAAAATTAATTTAAATCCTTCCCTTCCTTCCCTTCCTTTTATCTTAATTATCCAAATATAAAATAATACAATTTTTCCCTTCCCTTCCCCTTCCTCATTTTTATTTATCCAAACAAAATTAACACAAATCATTTCCTTCTATTTTCTTCCCTTTCCTTTCTTTTCCTGCCCTCCATTTCCTTTTATTTTCCTCTATTCCCCTCCCTTCCCTTCCCTTTACTATTTTCTATCCAAACAAGGCGTAATTTCGGACCCGAACTTACACCAAATTTGCAATTTCGGACCCAGACTTCTATTGCGCTCAATGAAGGTCCCGAACTCCATGAAATTCTCAAATAAAGTCCCAAGTGGACGGAAAACTAACTTCCGGTCAAATCTCTTATTATTCCGTTAATGTCCGTCACACTTCACAACCGCCACTTGAAAAAAATTGATTAAATTCTAATTTTGGTCCCTCAACTTCATTAAGTTGCACTTTTTTGTCTCTCAACTTCATTAAATTTCACTTTTTGTCCCTTAGCTTCATTAAATTGCACTTTTTTATCTTTCAACTTTATTAAGTTATACTTTTTTGGTCTTTAAACTATTTTTTGCACTTTTTTTATTCTTTAACTTTAACAACTGCATAATTTTGATACTTTCGTTAGTTTAAACTGTTAACTTTATTCATGTGGCATTTTTTATGTTTAAACTGTTAACTTCATTCATGTGGTTTTTTTTATGTTTTTTTGATGACATATATAATCTAACTGGAAAAAAATAATAACATATATCATCTAACTAGAAAAAATGATGACATGGATAAATAAAATAATATACAGATAAATTTTTATATTTTTAATAAAAATAAAAACACCTCTCCACCTATTTTCTTCCCCCGCTAGAAGAAAGAGAAAGAAAGAGGGGGAAGAAAATAGGTAGAGAGGTTTTTATATTTTTATAAAAAAAATATAAAGATTTATCTACATATTATTTTATTTATCCATATTATAATTTTTTTCCAGTTAGATTATATGTCATTAAAAAAATATAAAAAATACCAAGTGGACGGGGTTAATGGCTTAAACTGATGAAAGTATCAAAATTGTACAGTTGTTAAAGTTAAGGAATTAAAAAAGTGTAAAAAATAATTTAAGAAGCAAAAAGGTACGAAAAATAGTTTATGAACCAAAAAAATACAATTTAATAAAGTTGAGGGAAAAAAAGCAAAATTTAATGAAGTTGAGGGACAAAAAAGTGAAACTCAACGAAGTTGAGGAACCAAAATTAGCATTTAACCAATTTTTTTCAACGTGGCGGGTGTGAAACGTGACGGACATTAACGAAATTAATAAGAGATTTGACGGAAGTTAGTTTTCCATCCAATTGGGGACCTTATTTGAGAATTTCGTGGAGTTTGGGACCTTCATTGAGTGCAATCGAAGTTTGGGTCCGAAATTGCAAATTTGGTGTAAGTTCGGGTCCCTATGTCATATTTTTGCCAAGAAAAAATTGCAGAGAAAATAGGGAGAATGTGTGAAGGAGATGAACGGTAGACCATTTTTAATATCTATTAAAATATATGCTGAGGTGGCATGCCACCTCATTTTCGTCCCCCCGAAATCGCCCTTGTTTTTGTCTTTCTCATCATTATTCATTATCAATTTCTGAAGCATCTTTTCAAAGAATTAATTTTCTTTACTTCTTAACTAAATTGATTGCTGAAATTGATCCATTAAAAAAAGAAGTAAAAGGAAACCTCCCCGTTTTCATTGCCATTCATCAGTTTCTTTACATTTAATAATAAGATATTAACAGTAAAGATTTACTTATTCTTCCATCACAGAAAACCTTCCGGTTTCATAAACATGATACATCCAAACAGGTTCCAGCAATGCTCTGGCAGTTTGCAGTTTATTCCTTTCTTCTTCGTGACTCTGCTCTTCCATTTCTCTTTCTATATGAGGGTAGATGTCTGGCAGAGAAACCAGCATCATATCAAGTCCATTCCATTCTTTGTTTTCTTGTCCGATCAATTTCACGCAAACAAAGTGCAGTAGTCCCAATACCAATCCAAAGTCCTTGCGTTCAAGTCCAACAACAGAGCAGGTCAATAAAATCAACCCAACTGCATCCAGTAAGTTGGATTTTCCTTTTAAAAGTGATACTATGGTTTCCATAAGTCTCTTAAAACCAGAGAATTCATCAGGTTCAGAAATGCTGTGATCCCCTTCCTCTTCCAGACTACCTTCACTTGTTTCAGAGAGCTCAATCTTGGCTAAAATTTGAGGCCATGAAGGGAATCCAAGCTTAATGAGACTAGACACAGTCGAATATGCCTCTTCAGCTTGACTCTGCTTTAGCATGCATGCTGATCCTAGTGCAAGAATTAGATCGGGCACCCAAGGCTTTGCTGCTGTAATGAGGCTTGATGTGCAACTTGAGCCCAAATACAATTCACTTGAGGCAGTTAGATCGAGCAAGTCATTGACAAGTTTCAAAGCTTCATTAGGAGGTTCTGACGCTTCACTGGAGGCTTTAAGAACTAGATTGAGCAACTTGGCTGCATAGCTGAAGGAGCTCCTCAGACACATAATGATATCCTTTGAATTCTCCTCCTTGAGCTGAGGTTTATTGATTGATAATAGCTGCATGGCAGAGATAATGTTTTGTGTGTGTGCTGATGTAAACTTTAAACAACTACCATGGAGGTGGGGAACAAAATCCATTGCAATAGAATCAATGATGAACTTGAGAACTGCAGTAAGCACCTTCACCTTACTCGATGTCTGCTGTTGTTTAGCGTTGACAGATCCTACATTAAGGTTAAAAAAACTACTGCTTTCAGTTATGAAAATGAGTGACGTATTTAGAACAAACTACATTAAACTTTACACATAAAGTCAGGAGTCATGAGTCATGACAAAATTCAACACGGAGATTTATTTATTTATCTATTAAATTGTTCAAATTTGGGTTTTTACTTCAAAGTTAGAACCCTTAAACCAAATGGCAGCAGTCCAGGAAAACTGTGATATCAGTTGGTACACCACTAAGGTAACAACATGATAAATTGACGAGACATTGAAGATCAACACAAGTGGACTAGTCGGGCCAAAGATTTGGAAACCCATGCAATCCAAAAGAAAAAAAAAAGAACTAAAGTTAGTTTATACTCAAACCAAATAAACAAAAATCAGCCTATGTACCATTGGTATCAAAACAGGCGATGAAATTGCAAGCATAAATGCTGGCTGTTAGCACAACCATGCTGCTTATTAGTTTTTAAATTTGTGCAGAAAAAGGTGTCGTAATAGGTTCTGACTTTTGTACTTAGGATATTTGAAATATATTCTAACATAAAGTTAACATCTCTGCCCCTAACGGATATAATTTGTGTTACAACATCAAGTCAGCTTTAGTCATATGCCTAAAAGCGATGCTCGGATGTAGGAGTTAAAAAAGCACTTCTTGTTATATAATATAATAGATTAATTTCAGTGCTTGCAAAATGCATCATTTTGCTGATCTACGATTACATGCCATCTCCATGATCACTTACCACTTTCACTAGAGCTAGAGGCATCTTTTTTAGGTTCTCTGTGCCTTGATCCACGATGACGGGCCCTATTGCCATTTTCCTGCTTAGTATCAGAAGGTGATTTGACAGGCATCCCTGAGTCACCTGCTCCAAAGAGTTTGTCCGTACAAACAAGCAGATGATTAATTACCTGGTCCAGCATGGCCTGCCAAAAGTGCAAAGGAATTTGGAGCTAATCAGCAAGCAAACATTGCTTAAAACTGCAGAGCAGAAATTCAACCATAAATCATAACAAAACAATATTTTCACTTTCCAAAAAGTGTCCAAATAAACTTCAGTAGTGTCAAAACTTAAACCTAAATATGATTTTAATAATAATAATAAATGTAGATAAACAACAAAAAGGCATCTTGTCGAGCAATGCATGCTTTTAAATAACTTAGTTGTAGCATAATTTCAGAGAAGAACCTATACGGTGCCAAAGGTTCAGTTGAGCTATATTTGACTCTGGATCAACTACCTCATATCAAGAGCAAGAAATTCAAGCAAAAAAATAGGTAACTGCCACTTGCCTCTGAAGTTGATCTTGAAGAGTCAGCCATATGCAGAGCAAGGCCAGTGTATGCCAGGATTGGATATGGGTCCATATATTCACAGTTCATGCACTGCACAATACTGACCTCTGACAAAACCTTCAAAGCAGCAAATACATGATCCATAGCCTGAGAGCCTAAAATTGCTTTCCTAGTGTCCTCCAAAGCAAGCAAGTCTTTTATCTGCCAGGATATTCCTACTGCAACTGAATAATCATCCTCAAAATTGGATGATTTTTTCCCACTCACATGTTTCCATTTAGCATTCTTGACCTTGCATTTCTTTCTTTTTACAGAAAAAGGACTCTGTTTTGACACTTCCGTGCCAAACTTAATATGGCAACGGTAGGCTGTTTTTTGCAAATGCCTTGTTAGAACTTCAAGCATGTCATCTAAGGCATCACAAGACACCAATAACTTGTGGGCAGACCTAACTTCAGCTTGCTTTTCCACATTTTTGGATAAATCACTGCAGTCAGTAACTAGGCCCATACAATCTTCAAGGAGGGAAACACCATTTTCTGAGGAGAATGTTGATGCAATGTTAAAAATAGAAGATTGAGCTCGCCCAGCAGATGCAGCAGCAAATAAACACTTAACTTTTTCACCAGAAAATAACTCTTTGAGGGCATCTCGTTGGCTTGGCTCAGTAACTAGATAGCTGCAAATGTTGGATGAAGCAACCAGTAAACCCTCAATCTGAGCTGCTTCTAGTTTTTTATTGGACAATATCAAACCAACAAAAACCTTTACAAGTTGCATCAGTGACTTAGGAGATGCTCCTTCTAATAAAGCAAATTCACAAAACCTTGCACCAGCAAGGGGAGACCTCATCATAAGAGTAACACAGCGATTGCATGCCTCTTCAGTTGTTAATCTTGAAGGGAAGTATGATGGTAGAAGTAGTCTTGTAATTTTTTGTGCAACTGGAGATTGATCAGTTGCAAGTGTATTCAATAAGACACTTAAATCCACCACCTTAATCATCACAATGAAAAACATTAGTTAACCAACTAATGAGGAAAAAAAGGAAGTAGACTGCTCTTTATGCAACAAGAAATTTTGAAAAGGTGCCTTATACCTTATTAAATTGGAAAGAACAATTGTCCCTTAGAAGGAGGAGAAGATCTACTAAAGCAACTCGAACGATAAGTATCTTGTCGAGCATTAGATGCTTCAGTCTTGGCAGAAGCACTTTAAGAATTTCATGAGATTGTGGATTGCCAAGCAAATAAATAATGCCATTTAATGAAGAAAGCCTAACCTCACTGCATAAGTCGTGGGACATTTCATCAAAAACTTTAGTAAGCATCTTAGTAATGGTTGGTGAAGGGATTATTTCCCAAAATAAATGGAGGATGCGGCAACAACCTTCCACCGCAACCACTCTCACATCAGGACAATCATCCATAAGTAATCTCTCCAATAAAAAGAACTGTTTATCGAGCAAAGTATCTTTAACCTCCTTGGTGACATCAGGATCTTCGAGAGGGAATAAATCTAATAGTAAATACAGTGCATTTTGACGAACATTAGAATTTGCAACCTGTCAAATCACATTGCTTTATTAAATAAAGTTCCAACTAATTTGATATAAAGCAATGAGTGATGAAATTTGAAGCATCTGAATAAAAAAAATAACACTCATCCATTTTACCATTTTACCATTAACCTTTAACAAGTATACTTGGTTAGAGAACCCCTAACAACTCCTAATTGACATGTAGAACAGTGAGGTGTGTATATATAACATCATAGAGCCTAAACTGACTGAAAAAAAAAAAAAAAATGACTTCCTATGCTGCCTTAGCCTATTTACATCTGTTCTACTTCCCTCAAGCCAAGTTCATTATCATAAAACATGAAGGAGCCAGTTTGTATTGAGGTTTACTATGTCAAGTAAATATCTCTTCGAATTATAGTAATAGAATTATAGAATTACAATGCAATTCAACAAACACCACCTTCTAGTAAACAGAAGAACAAAGTCCAGAATCATACCTGTAATGACCTAAATATCACAGGCTCAGCAAGTCTGAAAAGGAGCTTCTCGACCCCATCTGTGGTCCTCTGATTAATAAATCCTCCCAAAACCCTTCTAATAGAAGCAGCTAATGCTTCAGAACGCGCATGAATTGCTCCGTCAACCAAACCCTGCAAAAAGCCATCCTCAATCTCATTCCTTAAATCCCCTTCAAGCCCTTTCCAAGCCCTAAACAAAACGTCCCCATACGCCTCTAGCATCGACTTCCTTCCGAATGGAATTTGGGACTTTATCATCGCCAATGCCTCCTTTGCGTGCTGCGAACTCAACCCGAATATGAACGCCAGGAATTTTCTTCCATCCTCGGTTTTCAAATACAAAGGAGCGATCACACACCTCATCAATAACATCTTCAAGTCCTCGATGCTCTCATCCTCGAAATCAAACAAATTAAAGGCATCTCTTAGTGAATAAACCCTATGCACATCCACCTTCTTCTGCAAGGTCAAGGACCTCGAAAGCAAAAACGGCAGCGTCTGTGAAACCAGCATTTCTCGCTCCGGCAAGTCCTCCTTCCACCACTCCTCGCACAAACTCGCAATCTCATTGGACAGAACCGCATCCGACTCAAAAATTCTCAAGTTATCGTGCAATGCCCGAACGGCCGGCAGTAACTCCGCGTGCGAAATCGCATTTCCGGGATGAAATGCGCATAAACGTGCGATGTGAGCGAACACATGGAGATGGTCGAGAACTTGCTGCTTCTGATATTCATTGCTTTCCGAATCGACTTCGGATCTGGATTTCGAGCTCCGGGACGATCTGCGGTGGCGTTTACTCGGAGGGGACTTAGCGGGGTCGGGATGATCTAGAAGGTTCTGGAAGGAGAGGATGGAGTCGGTGATCGAGCGGTGGAGGGCGGAAGGGAGAGAAGAGGCGATTGGAGAGGAGAGCGAAACGGAGTGGATTAGGGATTTGAGAGTGAGCTTTGAGGATTTGAGGTTTAGGTTTGCTGCTGAGGAGAGGAAGTCTTCCGGCGAGGACCGGAGAGAGGAGCGGAGTCGCTTCTCCATTCTGCTTGGCAGACCGGAAAATGTTTTCTCGACACCAATTGGCGGCCGGAGGGGAATTTGAGAAGAAACCGTTGATTTTCAATTTTGGGGTGACGAGGGCTGAGAAAAACTAGGGTAACAGCGAGCTTAAAGAAACTGGAGGAGAAAGGAGTCAAAATGTCTACAAGATTTGTCCTTCGTTCATTTAGGATTGGTCTGTCATCTTAATAAGGAGCTGAACACTGTAGCTTTAAATGTTACAATTTTCAAATCGATGAGTGGCGCCATTTGCCACAGGTTTATTTTAAAAGGGAGTGGGCATTCTGTTCGGTTCGGAAAAACAGAACTGAAATTTTGTGGTTAACCAGAAATCATGGTTAAACAATATTTGCTACGTATCCAAACCAAACTAGATTTTGGAATATAATTCAGTTAATTGAAATATTTTGGTTCAACTTGGTTTGAAAGCTAAAATTAATCAAAATAAACGTATTTTAGATTTTTGTGATTATCTATGTTGCTCCTTTGGATTTCTCTACCTTTAGTGATAATTTTTCTTTTGAGAGTTTGCATTGACTCTCTCGATATATATTTTCATTAGGTTTTGTCTATATAGAGGTGTAAGATGATGCGAATGTATGGCTGGTTAGATTTAGATAAATTATAGTACTTATTTCAGTTATTGATGACATAATTAGAGAGTGATTCTTAATTAATCAAAATTAATGTACTTTTGATTTTTGTGATTATCTCTTTTGCTCGTTTGGGTTTCTCTTTCTTGAGTGAAAAATTTTCTTTTCAGAGCTTGCATCAACTTTCTCGATATATATTTTCATTAGATTTTGTCTATAGAGGAGAGTAAGATGATGCGAATGTATGACTAGTTAGATTTGGATAAGTTGTAGCACTTATTTCAGTTATTGATGACATAGTTAGAAAGTAATTCTTAATTAATTAAAATTAATGTACTTTTGATTTTTGTGATTATCTCTTTTGCTCCTTTGGGTTTCTCTTTCTTTACTAAAAAATTTTCTTTTCAAGTTTGCATCAACTTTCTCGATATATATTTTCATTAGATTTTGTCTATAGAGGGGAGTAAGATGATGCAAATGTATGACTAATTAGGTTAAAATAAACTACAGCACTTACTTTAATTATTGATGACATAATCAAAAAGTGGTTCTTAATTAATCTTTTTACTTTAAAAGTTGGAGAATTAGATGGAGCTTCTTAGATGCCTTAGACGCATAATTGGGTTGATGTCTTAGGTCTATTTACTCTCCCATAACAATGATTTATAATCTTTAGTAATTGATGACTCTTTACATTTGTCCATATGTGTCATAGGTGAAATCATCTATTATTCGTACAGCAGGTTTAGTTTCACTTTATTATACTTATAAAACTCAATTTTCCATTTTTTCCGTGCAAAAAAAAAAAAAAAACATACAACTCAATTTAATAGTATTTTTATGTAATCTTTCTCAATTATTAATGAATCTCTTGAGTTTTTATTTTTATTTTTTAAAAAGTTGACTAATCCAATTAAATTTTGTCTAAAGTTCAATTAAATTTGATTAGCCAAAATTTGTATTTCTTGTTTTTTTGCCACAATCAAAATGTTGATTAATTGTGATTACTTTGGTTGTGGTTTTTTAGTTATTCGGTTAATGATTAATAATCCTAACTAAACTCAAAAATATTGGTGAAATTAACTTAACTAAAAATGTTAAAATGCCATTTAATTCAATTTTAACTAGAACCTGCCCACCCCTACCTTTATTTAACTTCACCATTAAATAAATAAATAAATATATATCAATTGATTTGAGTATAAAAAAGAATGAGGCATCTGACCTAATGGTAGGATTTAAGGCCCCACAATCTTGAAGTGAATTCGAGTCTCTAATTTCATTTGTTTATTTGTTGTTCTTATACTTTAAAGTGTCCTACTTGTACATAATGTTTAATAGATGCGCAAAGTAGTGTATACACAAAAATACATGGTAATAAAATTTTCCCAGGCTCCAGCTACAGCACCTCTACAAGTAAGCAACTATTATAAGCGTCAACTGCTTTCTTGTAACCTTGTCGCGACAGTAATGTAGTAAGGGAGGCCATGGTGATGGAGGTTCACAAGATGAACTGTGGCAGCTTCTGGGTACTAAAATACAATGTTGTACATATATTACAGACTGGATATCCCAAAGAACCGCATAAAAGGCATGTGGACGGGTGGAGCCTCTGACACCCAAATTGTCAAGCCAAGAATCATCTTATTCTTATGCCCCCCCTACCGGGCTACCCTTACCCCCCAAGACAAGGGTATGTCATTCATGATGCCAGGCCCCTTCCTAGTGCTTCCATTATCAAACAAAGGGAAACATATATTATCATCATTCACGCCCCTTCTTAGTGCCTCCATTATCAAACAAAGGGAAACAGAATTTCATCATTCACATGTGTTGCTAACTTCGGGTGCACCAGCTAGCAACATTGACAGAAGACAGTTCCAAATCAGAATAAGATCAGTGGTTGTAATAAAAAATGACACGCTTAAACAATCGCAAAGACTTGAATCTTTGACCTACTTAGATCTCAAAATCAAAGATTCAAAGCTATATAACGACCACCAACTTTTCTTATCTATGCATTAGACCCATTTTTCAACTTATTAAGTTGGTTTTCTCTATTATATTGATAACATTCAAAAGAAGTTCGGCAAAGTGGTTTCTCCTTGATGCTTAAAACAATATACTGGGATCACATGGCCCCAGACTCAGTCCTACTCCATCCAACAGTGAAAGTGAAAGGAAACTTCCACTCTCACAAGGAGTCCCCAAAATTGCAGGCAAATCTAATCACATTTTATCTTTTTACATGCTTTTTTAAGTGGCCCAAAATGCAGCATAGATGTATCAAATCAAACAAAAACAATTCCACCTCCCTCAAGGCTTTCACCCTTTTAAAAGACACAGGAAGCATCCCAAGCACCCCCCAAATTCAGAAGGCAGGGTTGCAACTTACAAGTGATGTATACAACACAAGTATCTTTATGTAAAGAGAAAAGGAAGAGAGGAATTAACCCAAAAAAAATAAAAAAAGCAACAGTTGCAAAGAGAGGGTAAGCCATGGTGGCATTCACAAAAGCACAAAAAAAGAAGTATGGACAAGCAGTCTTGAATATCCTTCTGGCATCTCTTCCTCATAAAATAGCTTCTGCAGTCTGCACTTTCAGTCAACTTCTTGTACTTCTCACTATAAGCTATAAAGCAATCCCTTTTTATTTTTTTACTTTCCCTTTTCTCCACCTTCTTGATTGTCACAGGCTGAGATTTTTGTTTGTTATGGGAAGAAAATGAAACCCCCAATGATCAACACCAAATTATAATCACACGGGAGAAAACACTAATTAGACCTACAAAGATATCTAACAAAACGAATTAATTATCTACAGAAGATGTTGTAATCCAATCAGTAAAACCAAAATCAACTCCTAAAGATTTTCTCTCCTGGCCTTTCTCCAGAGTCACTGAATGTAAGTTTCCTTTTAGTTCGAGCTTCAGGTAAAGTCGAAGGATTGTCATGAGCATCAATTGACCCATATGATAAATCAGAGGAAATTGCATTGCGGGGTGTCTTAGAATTTCCCACCTCAATTTCCCGCATCATGTTATAACATGAATATGTATTCTCCTGTTGCATCACAATATATATAAGATTTTCAGGAAAGATACTACTGATAGATGTGAAATTAAGAGTTGGTAATTAGTGAGCAAAGAAAGCTCACATTTTCTAGAGGCCCCCATGTTGAAATGAAATCCATCTTGATTTCCATTGCTTTCCGTGTTAACTTACCATCACAGGCAGCTAACACAGCAGCTGCAGCAATAATGGACGGTCGATGATCAAGAAAACTAAACTCTGCAGCAAAAGAATCAACATTGTAATTAAAACCAGCAGCACATTAAGTTTACAAATCAATTAAAGCACAATCTTCCGTTTATGAATTACCTTTTATGAAATCCACAATAAGCTTCACAGATCTAGAGACCAATTCTTTTGGCCTATAATCAACACAAACTTTACCAATAAAGTAATGCAGAAAAGCAAAAGGAGTGACTGAACTCATTTTCCACTCCAATGCAGCCAAAACCAATAGCTCCATCCTCTGAATCACCTTGTTCTCCACATTGTACTCCTTTACTGGAAATTCTGACAAGGGAGGGACTTCAGTCTCTTCCATCTTGGCTGCCAATGATAAGCATGCCACCGATAACAAAGGAAAAACCCAAAATTCCCCTTCCTATATTGACATCAATAACATCCAAAAACCATCATTACAAAGACAAACACAAAACCCCATTTGGGGGTTGTTCAAAGAATGAAGAGCTTCTTTTGCTTACATTTATGGGTCGTTTCGAAAGAAACCGATCTAAGTATGTCACGGAAAGAAAAGCCGTTTGGAATTGGAACCCAAAGTATGCCCGAGTCTGAATCAAAGAAGATAAATACTCAACAATTCAACCAAGTAAGACATTGATTCTTACAAAGGAAAAACAGAGAAGGGAAAAGAAAAACAAACATTGAAGATCCATTCAACAGCATTCAATCGAGCACATCTCATCCAGGGTTTGCTGTTGATTAAGCAATAACCAGATGATTCATGGCTTCCATATCCAAAGCTCGTTTCTTTTTGTAACAACAGCCCTATATACTCGTCTTCATTCTCTGAGGAGAAACATGGGTTGCGGGTAAAATAACTGTATTCGTCTTCTTCGATTCCATTTTCTCTGAAAATAGAATCCGTTTCTGGACAGAGGAGGCATGAGAGAGAAGAGGAATATTCAAAGTTGCCCATTCTCCGGCCTCTGCACTTCACAACCGGCGGAGAATCAGAGAAAAGAACAAGACATGGATATTTGTAAGTAGATGGTAACTACTGAGTCTGCTCCCGACGAAGTCGAGCAAATATAGATTTGACAGAGAGCAGAATCCCAGCGAGAGGGGAAGTGTGGGCTGATTGGAAATTGCGTTATTTGTGCCGCCAAAATTAGCGGATGTGATGTAGAGGGGCGTTACTTAGCAGTTACTTTCGCAAGGTTACCCTTCCTTGTTGACTTTGAGTGTCATACAGCTAATCCACTGATGAATGTGGATAATAGAGTTCGATTCACTTAAATATTCTTAAATTCTCTTTTTCCTTTCTTTTTTTATTATTATTATTATTTTTTATGGGAATATATATTTTTTTAATGCAAATTTTATGGGACCATATTCTTAAACTGTTTTAAGTGTGTTGTAATATATCTTTAAATAATGGTTTAATAGTTAAAAATTTAAGATTTTAAATTAAAAATTTTAAGTTTGAGTTTTAAGTTTGATAAAGAGGAATTTAGAGAAAGAAAAAAGAAAATTTCCTTTTGTATAATCCATTTGAATGTATAAAAAAAAAAATTATATTAGGGTGTTTGTTTTAGTGTTATAGAAAGAGTTATTAGTTGATTTTTATTGAATAATTAAATATTTTAAATTATAAATAATAAATAATTATTATTTAATATAAATTATTAATTATATTTAAACAATTAATTCAAACTTTCCTATAAATCATTTAGAGAGAGATTATAATAAGATATGCGCAAATTAACTTAAACCTATAAATAAACAAAACATTTCTAACAAATTGTATGAATAGTATGGTTTATTGTTAACATTAAATGTATTAATAAATAAATATTGTTATTTAATTTAAATTTTTTATGCATCAAATTAATACAAAGATATTTTTTCAATATTATTATTTAATTTTAAATGCATAAAAAACTGAACTAAAAATACTTTGATCATCTACAAAATAAGGTTCTTAACTTTAATTCCTAACTTTAATTTAAATAAACCCATCCTTTGCCTTCTTTTGTCCTTTCTAGGATATTATTTTCTAAGGTTCGGAGCTTGTACTTTATGCTCTCCCCCTTTTTTTCGAGCAGCCCCTGTTCTGTTTTTTTCGGTGGCCATACCCTGAGCAATTGCGATTTGGGAGTCCACCCGCCAGAGATAAAGGCTTATTAGACAGTAGGGTTATTTTAAAACACTATTAAATCAAATAAAGTTTCTCATTTAGGTTGGTTTGGGTTGCAGTCTCATGGTCCTTTTATACAACACTTTATATTTATTTTAAATTATATAATAATAAATAACTTTTCCCCATCCCTTAATCCTTTCTTCTTTTCTTTAACTTTATTTTATCTTGTTTCATATTATATGATTTAAATTTACAATTTTTTATTTTCATAGCAAAAAAATTATTATTGAACTATTTAAATCATTAATTTATACAATATTTTATTAAAAATGTTAATTTATTATGATTAAATTAATATAATTATTATTTTATATAATTTGGTAATATTTATATATTACACTACTTTTAAAATAGTTATCAAATAATTATACAATTTTTATAGTAATAAAAAATACTTAAAAATTACTATTTATCACAACGTTCCATCTCAATCTCAAACAAAAGCTTAATTATGCATAATTACTAGTATACGTACTTATGGTCTAGTAATCATCTCTTTTTTATAAACGATTTCTTATGTTAAGTTTGACAGGTGTGAAGTTTAAGTTATACTTTCAATGTTAAAAAAAAAAAAAAAAGATATGCATAATGACTAGAAATCTAGGTTTTAAGCACAATAACATAACCACGAACAATGTAGAATTCACCTAGTGAAATTATATTCAAGTCCACTGATCCTTTTTCCATTCCCCTCTTCCCCACAGTTCCTTTAATTGTAACAAATTACTTATGTTAAATATATATATATATATATATATGCAAAATCACTAGTCTGTTCATCAATAGTATTCCTTGTTCTCTCTCTCCTATTTTTTTAACTGCAAATTTGCAATATTGTTAAAAATTTTCTCGACCAATAAGATGAATTACGTGGATAATTAATTCATCTTGCGACATACAAGTAGGTTTCTCCAAGAAAAGTGTCAATCTCAAATCTCAATGTCCTTGACGGTTAATTTGGTCAAGTTGGTGATAAAGGTAGCGTGTGCCTCCGTTTCTAATCAAAGAAGGAGAAAAAAAAAATGTTAATATATGTGTGCTCCCTTCCTCATTAAGGATTTGATAGTTACAATCACTTTAAAGAGGTTATAGAAAGGTGATATTCTTGAATAGATTCTTGAATTTTAGCTGGAGAAGGCTGAGAAGTAGATTTTGCAAAAACCAACCCATGACTAAGAGGAAAATGGGAGCTCGAGCTTTGAAATATATCAATGATCGAATCAAAATTATATTGACATAAAAACTCTTTCAGCTAAGTTTTTAAAGTTAAAAGGCAAACTTAAGATTTTGGTGTTAGCTAGGGTAATTTAAATAAAGCGTATTGATCACATTTATACTAATTTTTTATGTGAAAACAATTTTTTTATTTTTGAAAACTTTGACCAATGTTTGAGATTTAATTGAGTTAATTTGAGCATTTTAATTAACAAAAACTCAAGAATAATCTAAATAACTCAATGATAACCTAATTGTAATAAAAATAAAAAAATTTGAAATGAAATTACTTGATATATGGGTGAAAAAAAATTTTAAAAAAATATTTTCTCTCATTATGCAACCTTAATATATATATACACCCATATGGAATATTACTTATAATACCCACTCTATCGCCTAAGCAAATTATTTTATTAGAAAAAAGGAAAGTTTCATTTATGGAAGTATAATGAGTGGAAGAGCGTCTTGGCGTGTGATAAGGCTGGACCACTGGTGTCTGGCTAATTAAAAAACGAAGACGCTCCCCCTCTATGATACGACTAGAACCTTTGACTGTGAAGTTAGGGAGTCCAAGATGGACATCAGCTTTGACTGTGGGTTTGATGTTTCTTGGTGGGGGAAATCATGGTTCCAATGTCTGTCCTTGGTACTTGAAATTGCGAGATGGCCGGTCTGCAAAAGCAAAAACTGTTTTTTTGCTGATTAGGAAGAATGACTATCATGTGATGTTTAATTGGACTTTTAGGCTGTCTGATTGTTAAGACCATTTTAGAATATGGTTGTGGATGACATCTGCCACTGTCGAGCCGAACAAAAATTTTCAGCCTATACCTAATAGCAACAATATCCCATAAATTTTCACAGATGATAGAGCCCAACAAGTTTTTTTAGTTGGCGCAGGCACAATTGTTTAAACTCTTCAAAAGGAGGGTGTGGGGAGAGCTTGGGAAGGGAATCACGTGCAGGTTTCAACATTTTGACTAATGGATGAGGAAATCTTTTAGGCAGTAAAATTGGGTTACATGAACTTCATGTATTCTTCAAAACCAAAGAAATTTTAAATATTAGGCTTTTAGGTGTTTTATGCTAAAAAATGTTACGTTAAAATGTCTTTATTTTAATTTAAAGGCATAAAATGTTATTGTAAATTTTACATTGGAGAAAAAACACAACATTATATGAAAGTAAAGGATTTTTTTTTTTTTTTTTTTTTTGGAACTGAAGCGAAATATATGAAAGTAAAAGACTTAATTACATTATCGTTTTATATGATATCACTGACCCAGCCGGCCAAATAGGTGTCGTGGTGTAGTTGGTTATCACGTCAGTCTAACACACTGAAGGTCTCCAGTTCGAGTCTGGGCGACGCCAAAAATGTTATTTTTACTTCTTCTTCTTCTTCTTTTTTTTTTTTTTGTTATGGAAGTTGTTTTTACTTGTTTAATTTGATTATATAAAATTTTCCATAATGGGCCAAGAGCTAGGGATCTTAATAGCAACACCACCAGTTGTGTCACAAACTCACCAGCGTCAGAGACTACTAGCCAACTAGGCCCACTAGCTGCAGCCTCCCTCGTAGAACCCAACTTCCCTTCAAACCAGAAACTAAGAGCTCATGGCCTTTGGAAGTTGGAACTTAGAAGGCCCACATACAAAGGTGATGACCTTTTCCCCCTCCTTAAATTTGGCGGTTATTATCAACTGTTTTGCCCAGGAGTCATCTATTAATCTTTCCTTCTTTCGTTATGGTTCATCAATTAACAACTTAAGATGGCAATCCCTGGTCCAGTGTAGTGACGTTGTCCATTAATCAGCAAGTGAAATACATGTTGATTATAGATTCAATTTTTTCAAGAAGTAAATACTAATTAATTTAATTTAAAATTTTTTAGTATAAAAAAGAAATTAAAAAAAAAATAACTTAAGATGACTTTTCAAAATCTATTTGCATATTCCCTTAAGCAAAGATGAAAAATGGGTGGCTGGAGTTGGAATCTACAACCGTCAGTATTTACCCACACTAAAGGTAAAATGATTTTTGCCACGTGCTCTTAAAAACAAATACAACTACTACGTAAGTTGCGTAGTCTCAATAAAATGTTCGTGACAATAACCATATCCCGAAAATATGCATATGATCTTAGAACCGTTCAGCCACGGACCCATGGACCCTACACAATTATGGCTTCCAATGTTCCATTCCTTTTTCAACCAAATTTAATCTCATCTCCTTA